CACGACGTGTTTCTTTCGACGGGAGTTGATTAAGTTCCTCGTCCGACATCTATCTAATCGCTTTTCTTAATATCTATTGCGCTCGCCTTAATTTTCTATAATTCACATTACGGTCGCAATTCGCATGTTGATGACATAGTGCTGGCTCGCTGTTGCGATAGGTCGCTGCTTCTCCGGTGTTGCTGATATGCTTGGCGTTGTCGCTCTACCAGGTGTCTTTCTTTGCTAGGGTTTCAGCTCCTCTTCTTTCAGTTTTCTCCTTAAATTTGGTCGTTTGCCTTTTCCAGATCACTGGGTGCTGCTGCTGCTCCGAAACGATCCCACCGCTGTCACCAGTTTATGTTGTGCGGGTTATTTCGGGGAAGGATCGACCAGGAAATCAGCTGAGGATTCTCGGCGCAAAGCACAATACTCTTCGTTTTTTTAATAAAATTTTATTAAACAGTATATTCTTGCACTGATTAATTCAGACCGCGACAGACGTGACAGCAAGACAAAATCTTAACGAGTCCCGCTTCTAGCATCGGTCTCTCGTTTTTATCCTGTTCCAGGCGGCCGGTCTTTGCAGCGTAATCAAAATGCTCGTCAGCGTTCGCAGTATATTTCTGGATCGCGCGGCAGTTTTCCGCATAAAGGCCGCACAATTCGCTTTAGTAATTGAATAATTTACAAAGAAAATTAATATTTAACCTAAGATAAATTAATATTTTATCTAATTGTTCAGATGTTTTCTTCTTGTTTGCATTATTTATAGCTCGACGGAGGCAAAAGCTTCAATTTTTGTTTTTTGCATTTATCTGAAAAAAATAAATACTTCACAATCAAACAATATTTGGAAAAAAATATGTTCACTTTATTAATTAATTACGTAATTATCAATTATGATATTAATGTTATACAATAAAAAAGTGATAAATATTTCTATATGCAATAATTTCATCGCGATTTCATCATTTGTCGCGAACGTACAGATATATGCACTTAAGAAAAGAATTTGATTTATGTTAAAAAATATGTACTACTGTGATCAAATATAAACGAGATTTTTGTTATAGAGTGAAAAATCTTTATTTATTCTTCAAAATCAAATTCGTCGCCTTCAAAATAATCCCCTCCCGATGCAATACACTTATGCCAACGCTTTTTCCAATCCTCGAAATACTCTGAAAATTCTTCTTCCAGAATGACTTTCGTTTCGGCTTGTATCTCCTCAATCGATTCAAAACGGTGTCCCCGGAGCGGTCTTTTGAGTTTAACTGAATATCCAGAAGTCACACGGTGCTAAATCAGGCGAATACGGTGGTTATGGAACGATATGGGTCGAGTTTTTGGCGAAATGGTCACGAAGAACCAGTGCAGTGTGAGATGGCGCATTATCGTGATGCAAAAACCATGAGTTGTCTGCCCATAAATCTGACCTCTTGAGGCGAATAGCTTCACGCAAACGACGCATAACACTCAAATAATATTCCTTGTTGACAGTTTGGCCCGGCGGAAGGAATTCATAATGCATCACATCACGATAATCGAAGAAAATTGTTAACAAAACCTTGATTTTTGAGCGATTTTGGCGCAATCTTTTTGGTCTTGCCTCACCATTTGCACGATATTCGCTCGATTGGTCGATTGTTTCCGGATCGTATGCATAGATCTAAGTCTCATCTCCAGTTATCATGCGTTTTATCTTGTCCTGATAGTCAGAAATCATTGTTTCACACACTTCAACGCGACGCTGTTTTTCCAAAAAATTGAGTGTTTTCGGAACTAAACGAGATTTGACTCTTCTCAAGCACAAATGGTCTTTCAAAATGGTCTGGACTGATCCAAATGAAATGTTTACAGTATCGGCAAGTTCTCTAATTGTCAATCGACGATTTTAGAGCACCAAATCCTTGATTTGCTTCATGTTGTTCATCAGTTGATGTTTTTGGTCGTCTTTGATGTGGTTCGTTTTCTACGCCATCTTTCAACATTTCTCAACCATTTTTCAACATTTTATACCAATTAAATATTCTTGGTCTTGATAGAGCCTGGTCACCAAAAACCTTCTGCAACATTCTGAACGTTTCAGTAGCAGAAATTTCATTCCGCAAACAAAATAAAATACAATTTCTTTGCCCAACAGAATCACACATCGTAAAAATAAAAAAAATACTTTTGGATATTCACAAAAACGAGCGTTCACTATTAAACAAATGAAGAGAATGACATGAAATTTCACACAGATGTCAAAGACAGTACTACCAACTTAATAAAAAAAATATTTGTCAGAATCGATGAACTCGCACAGTTTAAATTTAAAAATCTCGTTTATATTTGATCACAATAGTACTTGTATAAGATGAAAGAAATATTACAGCAATTATGGCTTGTTTGTAGTTACAATTTGGGAATTGCATGTTGTAAAACTATAATTGCTATAACAAAATATTTATTTGTAGCTAATGAATACTTTTCTTGTTATATTCAAGTACATATATCTTAATTTTTAATTTATTTCAGAGCGTTTCAATTCAAGAATCTAAAAAGATGGTGAAAATTATATATGTAAGGAAATGGATAAAACCAAGGATATATGGAATACTTGTGTCACTATTTTCTTTGCTACTTTCGCCGCTTTTTTGCTACTTTCATTTGAAAGAATTTTGCAAGATTATGTGATAATAACTAATTGTAAGCCATTTCCGTCGAAAAATTTGAATATTGGATTTTATCGACAAGAGTCGAGAAGTTTGCATTATTATCCATCGATATATTTGTCGATTGGTAACATTGATAAAATAAATCGATTACCATTATTCGTAAGATAAAAATCGATGTAACAATGTGTAATAAACGTATATTTCTCGTATTTATTGTTGGTCATATTTTATACTTTGTTATATAATTATGTAGAGACATATACTATTGCGAAAGAAGTGGCGAAGGATTCCATAAAGAATGATTACTCTTCTATGGTCAACAGCAGATGAGAACGTTATTAGCATGATACCAAAACCTCTAGGAAAAAGAGTAATCACAAAATCATTCAGTTCACTTTTAACTCTCGGTTTAGTTTGTCGATTCTCTCCGAAGTAACCGCAGATTTAGTTAATAAACGGGAGATATATAATATATTTTAAATTAAAATAAACCTGTAACTTCTTTTAATTATCACTTTATTAAATTTGAGCGGGAGTGTTTCTTTTGTGCGCCCTTGTTTTTCAACTTCCCTGCAGAGAACCATTGGCCGCTGGTTCCGACCCCCGACGATCTACCTGCAACATTTCTTGTTATCATGACAGTCGCTTGGATTAATATGATCTATCCATCACTTAAATACCGATTGTTCCCCTTCCTCCCCTCCTTCTTACTTACCTCTTTGAGTCTACCGTCCTTAAGGTTTAACACTCTTACACTTACATAATTGTTTGTTTAAAATATTCATTTTTTGTTCAATTCTTTATACTATAAAAACCGGGCATGGCCAATAAATATTTTAACGTAGAGTCTTACCCCGAATTGCCATGCCCGACGACCTCCGCACTTTTGTAACACTCGCGTGCTATACTTACATGTAGTTTTACTCCACTCTCATGCGCTCATTCGGAATGATATTAACCGTTATCATTATCTATCAAGTAATCACTAGGCGTATCATTTCTCCTATATATATGTTAAGTATTTGTGTTTTAATTCTGTACTTTCTTCGTTTCATTTTAATTAATTAAATGATTACTTTAACGATAAATCAATTTATTCATTAATAATTTAACTCTCTCGTCACGCTCGTTCCCCTCTCCGCCCGCTCTCGGGGCTCTCGCATATGGTCCTGATCCCAGACAAAAGAGATTAAATTCTTTTGCTTAAATTAACGGACCGACGGACGTATGTCACGCAGTCGGAGTCATAGCGTCTTTTTCAAGATGTTTAAAAAACGCCTGTATCGGCTGATCTGTACGGTACGTTCGACTCGCAGACATGCTTCAGAGCGACCTGCGAGAGGATATTCGGTACGTTCTTCCTTGCCCCATTCCTTCGACCTTTAACTAATAATTCCGGGGT